CATCAGAAGGCATTACAGTGATTGATATTTTTGAAGGTCACTTGGAGTTACTACTGGTCTTTGAGTAAAGACCAACAAAGTAGAATTCTGCAAGGAAACTGCAAGAGGCCTAAACAGTACAAAATAAATAGCCTAGAAAAAACACTGTAAAGGATTAGATATTTGGTGCTGGGGCCAGGAAGAGAAGGCCTTGAAAGAGAAAGAGGTTGAGAAGAATACAGAATAGCTGGCAGGGAAAAAAAATAAAGATAAAACATTTAAGATATAAACAAATATTTATAACTGAAGAGAAGCAGAAAAATAAGGTCTGTGACAAATCAACATTTATTTATAAAGTCACAGATCTGTAATGGACAATCATTGTGAATTACTGTAGAATAATCCAATTTCCGAATGTAATGTTGTTTGTTTGTGTAATAACTATTAAATGTTTTTATTTGATCACTTCTTATGAGGCCATTATATCCAATGTATATATTGAGAGTGACCCTAAAATGTTTCTACATGCAGGCAGAATCCACTATCCTGTTTCAAGAAATAATGTCCTGAAATTCTTGGTCCCACAAAGATACTTTTTTTTACAAAACTACAGTAACAAAAAGACATTCACCAAGTCCTGGATTCAATTCAATCTTTTTAAAAGAAAATACGTCCTTGTCATTTGACATTATACCTCAAGGCTCTTGATAGAACTGTTCTTACACCTCCTCTCTGAGGGAAAAACAGATTACAAAAACAGTAGCTCATAGAAACATTTAATTCTGAGCTAACAACTGGTTTTGACTCCTAACAATTGCTCTGTTTACCATTATGTTTTATTTTTAGTCCATGACCTATGAGTTTGGCTTTGAGTAAAAAATAAAAATTAAATAGAAGACCTCAAGGGGAAGGAGGCGGCAGTATAGGAAGGGGGACAATTAGTAGAAACCCCTTTTTTAAAAAAAAAAAAATCCTCAGTGTGTCAGAATGTATACATAACGAAATACCACAAAAGTAATGAAAAGCAGAAACCAGACAGAAAAACATACAGACAGCGTATATTAAAGAGTATGTTACTATTAAAAATCCTATAACAGGGGTTAAATCAAGATTGGGCCTAAAGTAAAGTGTATTCCATTGGTGAACCACTGATCAATTTACGGTAAACCACCTGGAGTCTGCTGATTACTGGGATTCATGCCAATAATTATGAACTCACTGGAACTTTTTTATTATTATTTCTAACAAGCCACTTCTTATGTTATTGAATAGGAATGTACAGTCAGTATCATTTAGCACAGTGTTGTCCAAACTTGACCACTTTAAAATGAGTGGACTTCACCCCCCAAATTCCCTTAGCCAGCCATGCTGGCTGGGGAATTCTG